AATTACTTATTTTGATCATTTACTATCTACTTGCAATTAACCAAGAACAGTTAGCAAAAAGCTACTTTTATTTTATTTAAAAATTTAAAAATATACATAGCTTAACCAGATTTAACGGAACTCTTAAATTTATTATCGTATGTGGATTTGTAAAAAATAGCTTACTTTTCTCTGTTTTCAGGCAATAACGCCAATTCCATTTTTTAGAACAACAACGATAAACTTGCAGACTAGTAGCTTTTCACTGTCTACACACAACAGCAAAAACACACCTAAGAGACTAAACTTGATACGTTTCACTAACGACTACAAGTAAGCTCAATTACAACTACTTATACCCTATTGTTGCTAGTCCCACCGTCTCCCTTACTTTTTGCAGGAGTGATTACGAAGAGTGGGGACAGAACCAGCATCTGCGTTAAACACTATACCCAGGTTTAAACAACAAGTATTCATTTCCATCACTAATTCAAAAATTTAGTGACCCCTAATTTTTCTTTTAATTAATTTGCTATTTCACTTTGTTTATTTGACCATGTTTATTTGGATAAGTGATGGTTATTTTTACTAAAATTAAAATTTACGCTACAATAATTCTCTTGTTTGTAACTTCGTGGAAGAAATATTTGACAATTTGTACCTCGACTTGATATGGCATGACTTACTACTATGTTGGAGTTATGAATTTACCTACAAGATAAACAACCAATTGAAAAGTACGATTTTCGAACCAACAACGACGCGGTTCGATTTTTCCGTCTTTGAGATGTGGTTTTGCCGGAAACGAAGAAAAACCAACGAGGATCTGGTTCAAAGGTGTCTTGTTTACAAAAGGAAAAAGGCTGACATAAACTACATCTAATTCTAAGAAAATAAACAACAACAACACGGACTGCTGTTTACACACTACCAGTTACAGTTCTCCAAATAAACAAAACCGGCATTTCTAAAAAAATCACACTAAATCAGATTGGAGTCGTTCAAAAACCGTTTTGAGGTATGAAGACGCCAACAATAACCCGGACCGGTTTCCTATCCTTTCTGGAATGACTGTAATCTTACAACAGGTGCAGTGATAAACGGCGTCTGGAATTAGAAATCTGACCCTCCACCGTTAAACCCGAGAGATCAGATCATTTCAGAAAGAATAAATCTGTCGATACCGTTCTCGATTAGGTCCAATCTGAAATTCAAATACGCGAAAATTGCAAATTGTACACAATGTTTGAGTATGGCGATTAACATAATTTATGAATAATATTAGCATTAACTCTGGAATCCGCGGAAGTTTGACGGTTGCGTTGGAAAGCATTTGTGATAGACTCGTATGTAGGTAAAGTGGCTGTTTGTTTATTGTAAATAAGAGAGTTCACGCCCGAGGGGCATTGCAACCATTACTATAAATATAAACGATGATAAAAATTACAAGGCGCAGTTAATGAGAATGGAGTGTACATAAATTAATGGCGAACATATCGCACATAATAATAATAATGTAATAACAACAAACACGACAATAATTTGCAGCAGAGGCGTCCAGTTTTGAGATGGATGGGGGCAACCATACCGAGTTTGAAGTGACGAACTACTCCAAGTAAACAAAATTTTAGATAACGGCTGAGCCATGACTAGACGGTGCGATACCAAACAAACGTTAAAATGCTTTAACGTCACCGCTGTGACGAAGAAATTGACTTTTAACTGCGAGAATCGGATATTATTGCAATAAATCCAGGGGCGTCGTTATGGGGGGTTCAAGAGTCATTATAAGTTGGCAAAATAAAAAATAGTTGATAAGTCATCCGATTGTCTACATTAAAAAACTTAATACATACAACGTGGAAATACAGTCAGATCAATAAAAACTGTTTATTTATTACCCCCCAAGACTGAAACTCTTGCTACGCCTCTGAATAAATGAGATTGTAACACAGTACTGTCGTTATGTAACTGCACAAAAAAATTACAGGATAGTCTGATTTGACTTCCCTTTTATATTAAAGGTTCTACTTTGTGATGTTTGAACCGTTTTTAATCCATGCTGGGCACCAGCCAAATTCTGTCAAAACACTTGCTTAAGTAATCTTCAACATCAACAAAATTTAGAAGATTTCTCGACTGATACTAGAAATTAACACAGGAAACCAAAAATGAATGTTCTGAAGGGAATGTTTGCCTTAAAAAACAATCAACAGAAATTGGCTAATATAAACCTGCTAAGCTAAGAATAAGCAACAACATGTAGCCCTCCTACTGGTGGAAACACAATTCAAGGAAACGACTTGTAAATTAATGTTTAATCGTGTCTATAAAATCTTCAGTTATATATATTACTTTGCGGAGACGTTTTAATCAGTTTAACAAATGCGACAAACAAAATGTAAAATTTTAAATGGCTGAAATTTTATACTGAATTTTCAAAATGAGTAATAAATATGTTTGAAAACTGGTCAGTTCAGGTCAAAATTAGAAATAGAGAAAAATACCTAACTTGGTTTTTTAAAACACATATTTTACATACTTTTATTAACCTCTTCTTAGCTTTTACAACCAAAAAAATCGCAGTAGGCTTTTTTACATCCTGTGTTACAATATTTTGTGGAGAGATAAATAAAGGTAGGCGCTTTGTTATGGCATAAATAAAACAAAATTTTCATATGCAGGGAACCCCTTGTATTTTATTTCTGCATCTTAAACTATTTTTTTTCTTTTATGTCAGTATTTTATATATGTATTTAAAATTGATAGTTTCTGTGGTTTTTACTTTTTTAAGACACATTGACATATTAGAAGAATGAGAAGAAAAAATTGAGCGCGACATAGTAATAAAATACAGGGTGTTCTATTTGAAAAAACTGAAATATCGATATTGGAAAATTGTGAAGTTTTATAAGTTTTTATAAACACTGTTTGTTAAAATCTGATTTAATTAATACCACAACAACGTGCGTACGTCTGTAGATTTCTCCATAAAATATTGACACAGGTCTAAACAATAACATTATTACGAGTTTTTTGTGAACAGTTCCTTGTCAAACAATTTCAAGAAAATTGGAATAACGTGTCAACGTCGCATTGGAATTTCAAAAATAACCTGTAGTTACAAAGCAACATGTAAAAATATAGAGCGTGTTTCATTTAATGAAAACTAAGTTGCCTTAAGACTAATAAACAGAACACCCTGTATAATGAAAAATACTAGTCTGCAAAGAACAACATACCTTTTGTCTTTGACTTTTTTCTATCTCTAACAATTAATGATAATAACGATAAAATTAATATAATACGACTTTTCATTGACTTTTTTGTCGATTTTATTAGATGTATAGGTAATCCACGAACTACTAATTCGAACTTTACTATTAAAAACTGGCGAATCGTACCACAATATAAAATAAAATTTTGTACTATGAAACAGACTACATTCAAATTTTAATAAAACATTATTCTTAAAAAACTGATGATTTCACCAAATTAATTTATGAAACAATTTAGGTGAATTTTCTGAATACGGTGGCGTAATGTTTAGTTTCAGTAATTATAATAAAATTTTACGATGGAGTAATTTCAAACAGTTATGTGGTATTTAAATCTTCCTTTAAAGTAGGCACAGTTTCTCTTATTCCAATTTAGTTATGAATTAGTAGAATACCATTATTTTTACACTGCAAGTACCCATGATTCTAGTGAAATTTTGGTCACAGTCGAACTGTGTTTAAAAATTTAAAAAAAAAATCTATTTCTCAAAAAATGTAACTTCACTTATGTCATGTTATAAATTTTCTAAAATATACAATTATTAACAAAACTAGACATACGTCTGCAATTAATGCAAATGCTTATGTACAAAAGTGAACACCAACAATGAACTAAAGAATCATAGAAATCATAAAATTATGCATAATTTTCATCCCCTAATCACACCCCAAAAACACTCATTAGGGAAACAGTTGTTGTTGTATTGTAAAATTTACATAATACAGGTGGTGGTTCTACTTTTTTCAACACGGTAATATCGAAAACTTGTGTAAACGCGCTAAATAGGTTAAACAATCAAAAATCTACGATGTTTTTGCCGGTCTAGTAAGTCTGACTCTGAGCTAAAAGTACTGTTAAAAATTTTCACAGATATGTCCGACTACATATTTACATTTACGTCTATGGTTCTATGACTACATTTTCGGAAATTATTGTTATGAACATAAACACACGAATTAGGACATTAATATGTTATTACAGCCTTTTACATACTAAAAATGTAAACAATCACTCTCCATATTTAATAATACACACTAAGTTGTCGAAATTTTCATGAATTTTAACTGTCAAGCGGTTTTTCAAATCATGTTGTCTTTCAAGCACGTACTTTACACAACACTTTGTTCGAAACTTTATCGTAATTAATCTACTTAAAGTGACAAGCTACTGGTGTAAAACTTCCCATATCCACTGCCGGAGAGATAGAAGTTCTAGTACTAGTCGTCGGTGCTACCGTGTCGTCATCGAAGCAAGTTAAAATTGATAACGAGTTTTCCAAGTTTACGCCCAACTTAAAATATGACTATCAAAACTGTCAAAAAATTTGGCTAAACATAGGCGTAGAGTCCGCGGGGGCAAAGGTCCCAATGGAGTGCGTTGACGTTGAAATAAATTCCCTTTTGGTTTGTCCGAATCCAGATCAGTAACGAATAAATTCAGGTTGAAATTTCGAGCGGCGACCCGACGAACGAACGACCAGTGGAATTCTATGCAAATGCACTCCCGTCAGCCAATACAACCGCTGACATATTTTCCGCATTGCCGCCCCCCCAACCCGTCAAAAACAACGAAAATTCTATTCATGTCCGAACTGACATCTCCAAACTAATGACGTGTTCGAACCTCAGATGAACATTTAAAAATAGTCCATAGCGCTCACAGCCAACGCGATCCATTTAATCCGACTCCTATTTCATTTTAGTAATAAACGTCTGAAAATCGGGAGGTGAACGACCCTTTACCTTTGCGGTTTAACGACAGGTCTTATCATAGCTGGCCTTTTCTCGTCCTTATTCGGGAGTCTCAAGTAGTCTTGGTCTCCCAGCAGGAACAGATCTTTTGATATAATCATGGCACCGAATCACCAGACAACTTTCCGAAACCCTCACACGCACTCGGAGTCGCTCATGTCACTTATCCGTACGTTCGACGGTTCTAGTACAGTGCGTACATTATTTGGACACTCGGTGTCAAACACGTGCACAGCCGACTGCGATCGTCCGACGTACTCGCACATCCGCGGCCAAACTGAAACTGAGTGGAACGCGATCGCAGCGGGCCGTGGATGTGGACGTGGTGGAGGCACTTGTCGCCGCGACCGCCCTCACTTGTTTCGGAGTGAAGTTCGTCGAATGTTTACCCCACACCTGCTGTCGCTCGCTCTCCGGCCGGGCTATCGACTTCTTTCTTTCCTGCGCGGAGATGGAGCGGTGCGGATCTGACCCCGGACTCTCCGGAAAGTGACCTTTTCACGGAAAACGGACGCCTTCCTCCCGGATTCGGGCTTCAATCATTTTAGAATCTCTCCGACGGACGTCCCGCTTCGCGTTTGTTGACAGTCGTCGAACTTAAAATTTTAACGAAGTCTAGGCTCACTTTTATCGGAGAAGTCGTGTTCTTAAATGAGTATCTATTGAAAAGCGCACACAAGTTCATTTTTCCCTTGATGACAATTTTCACCTTGACGGCTGAGATTCTTGGTGTCATCCCGCCCGTCTGTTGGATGCGATCCAGTTCTTTCAATGCCTTTTATAAACAATTAATTTTAGTTTAAAAGAAAAAGAAATAAGGCGTTACAATTTGATGTCACCTGGGCACGAATCCAGAAAATTGTTTTTATACTTAGCGAAATTGATGACGGGCCAAAAAATTGCTCGAAGGTTGTTTGAACAGAACTTCCCTCGCCTCCGAAACGCAGCCCAACAAATCCCGCTTCTTTGAAAAATTATAAAAAGTTTTGCGATTTTTGTTTTCTGATAACCTCTATAAAGTAAAAGCTAATGGCGTAAATGACAGGCACGCAGCTTTTTTCACTTGAATTCTTCAATTTTTCATTTTTTTCATTCATTCCTACTTGAAATTAATTTTAGCTTTGACTAACAAGTGTGTTATAAAATGATAGTTCATTGTAGTTCAAGAAGTGATGTCTGTCATAATCAAACTTCGGCATCTCGGAAGTGATGCTCATTGCCGTCCGATCGCCAGCACTATTGCAGTCGTGGCCTACAACTTCGGGAATTATTAACACAATAAACAACTACTACTTTTTATAGGTTTTCCTCAGTTATATGAGTTCTCTTGGATGTTAAAATGCTTTAAAAATTAAAAATGACTATTCAAAATCAAAATTTTCGTGATGATCTTGATTAGATAAACCCTTAATTGCTTCAAACGCCACTGAGGTTGAGACTGCACAGTCGGCCAGCCAAATTTATCGCCTGACGTCGCAGAGTCGTTTTTAATATTTGTCTGATTGATTCCCCATCACTTCCCCATCAATTTTTGTTTTTTCGTTTCGTCAATTTTTTGATTTGAAATTTTTCAATGTTGATTTTTCTGTTTCTTGAGTTTCAACTTTTCGAGTTTTCATTGTTAAATTTTTTAGTTTTTCAATTTTCCAACTTTTGGATGTTTTAGTTCTTAGATTTTGCAATTTCACCATTTTTCAATTTTTCGTTTCTTCAAATTTTCGATTTTTCAATTTTTCGTTTCGATTTTTTATTTTCTTTATTTTTTCAATTTTTAAGTTTTTCAATGTTCTGATTTTATAATTTTTTTTAACGTGAAATTTTTAATTTTTAGATTTTTGACTTTTTTGATTTGCAACTTTCGGTTTTCAGTTTACTGATTTTTCAACTTCCAAATTTTTTAATTTTTCGTTTCTTCAATATTTTATGTTTTCGCTTGAACTATTGGATTTTTAAACTTTTTAATTAATTTTAATTTAATTTATTAAAATTTTTAATTTTACGATTTTTGATTTTTCAGTTTTTCGATTTTCCAACTTTTTTAGATTTTAAATTTCTCGATTTTTCAATTTAATTTTTGAACTTTTCGAATAAAAAAATAGAAAAAATGCAAAACTGTAGAAAAATCAAAAGTGAAAAAAAAATTAACGAGTATAAAAAATCCAAAAATTGGAAAACAAGAACTTGAAAAATTGAGAGAAACATTGATGAAATAAAGGAAATGAAAAAACGAAAAATCGTGATATAAAATCGAGAAAGTGAAAATTAAAAAATCGGAAAAATGATAAATATTAAGCCCTTGAAAAACTGAGGAAACGAAAAATTGAAAAATCGAAAAATTAAAAATTGAGAAATTGAAAAAACAAAAAAAAATTTGTACTATGGAAAAATTGTAAAATCGAAAATTTTAAAATCCAAAAATTGAAGAAACGAAAAACTGAAAAATGAAAGAAAGTGAAAAATCAATAATTGCGATATCAAAAGCGGTTAGCGTTTTACCATCTACATGATATGCCAAATATACAATATACGAAATTTGATAATAAATTGGTCTAGTGGTTTCGGAGATTATGTGTCTAATAAAAATTTATGCAGACGATAGACAGACGAAAACGGGAGACCACTTTTTTCGTGCTCTAGAGATCATGACAGATGTTCGGTATTTGCAAGGTTTGGTATGTACAAGATAACACAACACAACGAGTCGATAACTACAGTAGACAGAATGAAAGTTAAAATTATTCTGTAAGTAATACCATTATTCTAGGAAATAGCTTAAAGTATTTCGTCACTAATTTTACAGAACTTGGATTCAGGCGCGGATCCAGGGGGGGGGGCAATGGGTGCAATTGCCCCCCCCTGACACACGACCGAGGTACTTTATTTTGACCAATTTCAAAATTTTGAAATCATATTTCATTTTGTAAATACAGTACAACCTCTATAATCCGAACCCACGATTATCTGAACATCCAGTAATCCGAACAGAGGCTATTTGAAGTCGATGCCGCTTTAATCCGAACAAAAACTCTGCAATCCGAACTGAACTTGAAAACATGCAGCTACTTCCAAAAATGACGCAAGATCTTTCTGCATATGTTGTATGGAATATTTTGAAATTTTTAAAAATTGCGATATTTCAAAGCACTGAATTAATTAACTAATTCTGGAGAAACGGATGAAGTTATCGGACACCCGAAATCTACAAGGGAAGGTATTTGGTTAAATTTCGAAAATCGTCGAAAATGGGTCGAAATTTGCATGAGAAAAATTTTATTTTTGAAAAATTTTCCAAAAAATTCTAAAAAAATTCAGGGATATATAACCCTGATTCCAAAAATATACCATGTTTATGGTAACGGAGCAATATTTTCGGAAAATTCGCTATGAAATTCGAATTTTTCGAAAATTTTAAAAATTGCGATATTTCAACTGGACGATACTGGAAAATGGTTTAAGTTATTGAAGAAATGAAGCCAGAAGTGACTTCTGAGGTCCAAAATCTACAAGAAAATATATTTAGTTAAATTTCGAAAATCGTCGAGAATGGGTCGAAATTTGCATAATGGAGGTAATACGAATACATAGTGGAAAATTTCATTTTTGAAAAATTCATCTAAAAATTCTGAAAAATTTCAGGGTATAGATCCCGGGGTGTTTATTCCAAAAAGATAGCGTGTTTATGGTCACGGAGTAATATTTTTTTAGAATAATGTATCTATTACCCATTGTTGCTTAAGAATTCTTTAATTTTTGTTTAATAAAACTTAGGTTTATTTCTTGAAGTTTGTTTTCAGTTGTGTATGAAGTTGTTATTCAATTTCCTTTCAGATTTTTGGGAAAATTGCTGATCCGAACAAATCGTTAATCCGAACACACCTTTTTCCCAATTAGGAATTAGGATTATCGAGGTTCTACTGTACACTATACGTGTAATGAAAAGAACCAAATGTCACCCATGTTATGTAAAAAAGAATATACTAGCTAAAATTTTATAAATTTTTGTGTTTAGAACGAATTTCTGGTGGACAGGTATAGTCACACAAAAATTGCCCCCCCCTGAACGAAATCCTGTATCCGCGCCTGCTTGGATTAATGTAGAATTCCGACCTGAGGGTGATGTAGATAAAATTTTTCACATTATACGTGAACTAATGCAAGATTATACAACTCTGCTGTCGGCTTATAAAACATTATTGGAAGTTAAGATTTGACAGTGAAAAAATAAAAAATGGAAATAAGGAAAACACGATCCTTAAAAGTTGCTTTTATTTTTGCAACTCTGCGATTAGATGGCAAATGAGTGTAAAATTCAGGTACGGTTATAATTGTTCAAATACTTCAGTAAGTCTCCATTTTCATAAAGCTCCTTTACGTCTGAAGCTCCTCCAATAAAAACACCGTTAACGAAAACTCTCGGAACGGTTCTCGCCCCGGTTATCCTTTTCAAAACTTTTTGGATTTCTTCGCAATCTTTCCGCCGGTCCAGTTCTATAGCGGTGAAATTCTGGTCTATATCCTCAAAAATATTTTTCGTTACGTTACAGTGGGGGCAGAAAGTTTTAGAGAAGATGACCACAAAGTCGCTTTCGATTAGTTTTTTCACGAGGTCCAGTTTCTTTGAGGACATTTTCACAAAGGATTTTGATGACTGACGAGTGCTGACAGTTTCGATGACACTGACAGAAATTTATGTCGGAATCGCTGATTGCGCCCTTTGCGTGTTCGGAGCAATTACGTCCATTGAACTTAGAAAAAGAAATTTCTGCCCGCCGAAGAGCAAGTGTGCCATAGGTATTTTAAAAATTCCTAGCCTACCGGAAGCGTTATTTAAAAAGTGAAGACCACAATCCTGGGTCGTCGACCCGAGCTTTGTCTCGTTTTCTTTTTGCACTGTTTTCAGAATCAGGAATGCGCAGCCCACTATCACAAATTGCTGCCAACATCATCTCTCCCTGCGAACCCTCAGGTATTCCTGCAGGAGCGGGCTATTGATTGACACAGCCTGCGATAATTTGACGAGAGGTCCTGAAAGCTTTCGAATTATTCACGTTCCGTACCCTTCAACAGTTTTTGGCTTGGGGTGGCGTTCGGGGGAGAAGTATTGATTCGTGGGGGCTGCACGGCCTTGAAATGGAAAGCTGGGGCGTCCGAATCGGATTAGTAACGGAAGTGAAAAACATCTGAATGAAATTAGAATAATTTTGAATGAGAGGAGTTCAGGGTCAGCAGGGGCATTTTCATAAATCTACATCTGCTCGGAATTTTCCATTAACTGTTCATCGATTAAACGCCGGATTTATCGATAGTAAAAATGACACATAAATTCAGCGAG